AAGCAGTATATGGTTAACCTCAGACTATTTACACTGTTCTACCTGCAGCACGTTACAGATTGAACGGTGTTTACCGGCTGGATGGATTTCCCTGCGTATCTGCTCATGAATAGTGCTGCAGATGGCAGAGCCACCAGGGTCTGGATGCTTCCCACATTCCTGCCTGACGATTCAGTGAATGATAGCAGCACAAAACCACAGGAAGTCTTGGCTGCTGTTTCCTCTGTGCTTCCTGTATGTCAGTGTCAGCATCAGACGTGCGATCACAACTGTCAGGCATGCGTATGTGTGTCAGTTATGGTTTGCTGGAGATGGATGGCTGAAATTATAAGTGATGGACAGCAAGAAAGAGAAACATAATATGAAAACATCAAATATTAATAGGCTGGAAATGTCAAGTTAAAGGAATAATATACAGACAAAATGAAAATTCTTCCATCACGTCCTCCAATGTCATTCCGAACCTCTTTCATCCATGAAACACAAAATGAGATGTTAGGCAGAACGTATAAGCTTTTCTTTTCCATAGAGCTATAGAACACATAATATTTAAGGTAACAAAGTAGTGAAAAACAACGTAATTTCAGTCTGTTTTTCACATAAAGCTGTTGTATAGATTCAGAAGTCTTGGAGTATAGACCTATATAGATTCTATAGACCAATTTCATGGCTTTTTAAAGCATTACAGCCCCTGGTCACTATAAACTGTAATTGTATGGGGAAAAAAAGAACATCAAAAAACAAAAAGGTTAGATATTGTATCCTTAGTTTGTATTATTAGTTGTTCTATTAAGAGACTTAACTGCTGTCTCAAAAATTATTTATGAAAATATGTTGTTTTAAGTGAAAATTAGATGGTTGTCAATGTAAGTCTGATGTAAGTTTAACATTATCCAAATTAAATTAGCAGTCATTTGCAGTCAAGTGATGATACTTAAATTAGCAGTCAAGTGATGATGTTGAGAAATTTCAATTAGTAAGTTAACGTCTCTTATTTCAGGCAGAATTACTAAATTGTGATGCCGTTTCTTACTGTAGTTGGAAATTAGATGATAGCGTGATGCACAATTCAATACAGTTTTAACTGAGATAATGACAGTGTTTGTTCTTTTGCTAAATAAATCCCTGCAAATAAGCCTAAATCTGAGACAGACATTCGCCACAATACTGCTTCCAAAAATGTATGAGTGCTCCTCAAAAGCACTTCAAAAACTCCTGCATTCAATCTCAGATCTCCAGTCGCTACACAAGAAAACACCAGACCGGCATTTTCAGGCAATCAAGCAGAAGGACTTGCTTTTTCATTCGCTTTCCACCGTATTGCAGAGAGAAAAACTGCAATATCCACTCTTGACCTCTGCTTAGTAGACCTCTGCCACCTCCAACATATTTACCAGCTGTGAGAGAAGAGGAAGAGGATGGCAGCCGAGAGAGATGGAGAAAGCAAAGCAGTAAATGTCAAGATCGAGATGAGAGGCTGAGACATAAAAGCGTCAGGTGAATAAGGAATACATAGAGCAATAGACAAGGAGAAAGACATCATGTATATGTGAGTGTGTGTGTGTGTGAGTGAGAGAGAGAGAGAGAGACAGAGAGAGAAAGAAATGAGTTTATTTATTCTGGCTTCAGCCACATGCTTTACTCATTTTAGTTATCATAAAAAATGTATAATCTAACTGCAAAGTAATGGCCTTTAGAAGATTATTTGAATATTCTGTGGTAATCATATACAGTAATCAGTGCCCTTGCAAGTGTGATATTACTCTTATAAAACATTGGACAGCAAGTATGTAGATAAGTAGCCTAACACTAATTGCCTCAGATCTTCATGTGTAGATCTACTTTCTTACACAGAACCGTTGCAACAAGAGCAACATACAGCAGTTTTGCTGCGTTTCAAATGATTCAGTGAATCAGTGTTTTAGAATAAATCATCTGAATGGATGATTCAATGACTCGTTCATATCGCCAGTTGCTTGTTTTGTAACTGAATGAATCAGGATTACAGAACAAATCATCTGAATGAATGATTCAGTGATGCTTTCATAAGGACAGTCACTTGTTTGCGTTACTGAAAGAATCAGCGTTGTAGAACAAATCGTTCACCTGAATGAATGACTCAATGACTCATTCATAGCGCCAGTTACTTGTTTCTTTATTGATAGAATCAGCGTTTTAGAATAAATCATCTGAATGGATGATTCAGTGACTCGTTCATATCACCAGTTACTTGTTTTGTAACTGAATGAATCAGCATTGCAGAACAAATCATTTGAATGAATGAATCAATGACTCGATCAATGAGCGACTGTTACTTGTTTTGTTACTGAACAAATCAGCATTATGGAACAAATTGTTTGAATGACTGATTCACTGACTCAATCGCTATGAATGAGTCAATGAATCAGTCATTCAAACAATTTGCATTACTGAAGGAATCAGTGTTGTAGAACAAATCATTAATTTGAATAAACCATTCAACGACTCATTCATAGAGGGTCACTTGTTTTGTTACTGAATGATTAATAGTTTTAAATAAATTGCTTGAATGAATGATTCACTGACTCACTCAGAAGTCACTTGTCATCACCTACCATTAATGCATAGACTATTCAAAAGTTTCTTTATTATTATTTTTTAAGAAATTAACTCTTTTATTCATCAAGAATATATTTAATTGATGAAAAGTGACAGCAAAGACATTTGAATGCAGTTCATCCAAATAGAATTCAGACTAAACTAGTGCTCTTTTTCAGATTCAGAATTTTAGCGCTCTTGCCCCGTAGGTAAAGATCAAGTGATTAAGCCCAAGTATATATAAGGACATCATCAAATTTGCATATATTTTACTCAAATATCTCCCTCAGAGATGGGGGATGAAACTTCTATCTAGGCCATCATCCTGAATTATTAAGCAAGTATTTTCATTTAAATCTCTGGAATGCTATTTATTCTAATTCATGCCAGGTCATTACGGCTAGGAAAACATGCTTTGGCACAGTAACGACGTTCTCAGGAAATCATGTGGGTGTATATTTTGATGTTTCTTTTTTTTTTCAACTGCCCAGAATTGATCGCTTGCCGGTTTGAAGTGATGACAAGTTCCTAGGACTGGTTTCAGGGTGAGCATGTGTTAAGATTAAAGTGCTAGTAGACCAAATAAACTCCACGGTTGTGACTGAGGCCTCAGGGGAGATATTGCTCCTCAATCTCATAAAAAATGCATCTCTGCTGTAGCACCACCTGCTCAAACCAACTAGTGGTTAAAGCGGAAATTACCTGGCTGGATCTCAGCCGCCGTCTGTAGAGCATTCTGACACAGGGAATCGTTAACGCTCAGCTTGAATCCCCAAAAATTGCACTAGTCCTTTGAGTCCGCGTCTGAAGCAACAGTCGGCTCATCCTCGTCCAGGACGGGCATCTGTTTAAAATATCACACCTACCAGCCGACAGGTTTGCGGGAAGCCGTGGCTAATTGAGTTGATTCAAAGCACCAGGGATGGAGGGACAAAAAAAAAAAAAGGAGCTGGCCATTCACCCCTTCTTTCCATTTTAAGCTCCTTTTTATCCATATCTGCATCATGCTTTGAGAATAAGCCTCTCTAGATTGTAGTATCACTTATTCATTGACGCTATTATGAAGCTCAGATTAAACTGCTCCCACTCACGCATATTCAAACAATGCCTCAAAAGGTTGAATTTTTCCTGCCCCTCTGAATCAGATGTCTTGCTGTGTCCTGATTAGGTGAATCTCTTGACAATGTATGATTTCTTGAAGTACCAAAGTGAAGTTTGACACTTTCAGTTAGAAGCTGGTAGAGTTTATATAAGCTTATATGAGGACGGTGATAATTAAAGGAACAGTTTGCGCAAAAATGACCATCATTAACGTAAACAGGTGTTGTTTTTTCCTTAATGTGGAACACAAAAGATGATATTTTGAGAAATATGTCTTTTTGCTTTTTATCTTTTGTGTTTCACAGAAGAAAGAATATGCAGAGAATCAGATCAAGATCCAGTACACAAAGATGCAACACTACAGTGAAATCTAAATATACAATCAACTAGGAACACTTCATAAACCTGTTTTTTATGCAGTTTTAGTGAGTAATTAGATCAAATTCAGTTTGATATGACCCAAGCTTCAAAGCATGCTGTGTAACTAGCAGTGCCACAATTTTTAGGATTATTACTAAAAGGAACAGTTCAACCCCAAAATAATTTGCATTAGAACAGATTTGGAGAAATGTAGCATTATATCACTTGCTCACCAATTGATCCTCTGCAGTGAATGGGTGCCATTAGAAGTGGTGAAGAAATGGCAGAGTGGTGTGGATTACTTGTGGATTATTGTGATGTTTTTATCAGCTGTTTGGACTCTCATTCTGACGGCACCCATTCACTGCAGAGCATCCATTGCTGAGCAACTGATGCAATGCTGCATTTCTCCAAATCTGTTCTGAGGAAGAAGCAAACTAATCTACATCTTGTAAGGCCTGAGAGTGAGTACATTTTCAGAAAAGTTAGATTTTTGGGTGAACTAATTTCTTTAATACAACTCAAAATGAGAAGACAGAAAGTTTATTTTCCATATGAGGAAAAAGTGGATGATTTATACTCCCAAAGCTCCAAAAAAAGAGCAACAAGGAATCATAAATGAAGGAGATAGTTATTTTTGGTGAACCTTCCCTTAAGTGTCAGCACAAGGTTATTCTGTTAAGTTATTAAAAATCAGCTGATCTTTATACTCATTAGATTTGCTATGTGATTGATGGGATAATGTAAACACGCAGGCCTAATCATCACATTAATATTCATCAAAGTTTAAAATGTTAACGCTAACCCAAAATCATCTCGTTCTCATGTCTTTTTTCGCCTATTTTAAAGAGCCCTTTTCTGAAAAAGGACAAGCAGGATCCTCAGCTTTGATGGTTGTATCTTGATCCGGAGTTTAAAGCCCCAGTTCTGATCTCCACATTTCATGTCAACATTTTTGACCCATCTGCTGCTCCACACGAGGCTCTCTGGAGTTTCTAGCATATATTAATGTGAAATACATAAACAGTACACTGGGGAAAAAATAAAGACATGTTTTTGAAAAAAGACTTTTGTACTAGTACCTTAATGTCAGTCAGTCTTTTTGAAAAGAGTCCCCAGATAGAGCAGGTATGAGGTGATGCTTGCCGTCTCTTGCTGAGACAGACAGACAGACAGACAGACAGACAGATAGACAGATAGATAGATAGATAGATAGATAGCTAGATAGATAGATAGATAGATAGATAGATACTTTATTTATCCGTAAGAAGAAAAAAATATATCTGAAATGTACAGCCTGGCCCAATTTGCAAATACCGGTACATCAAGTGCCTGCATTTGACAATATTATATCCCATTACTTATA